TTAGGGCATGTCCAAGATCTCAGAACTTAGTGAAAATGGAGGATGACTGTTTAATGACTTTATTTATTTCCCAATTTCTTGTTTCTAATTTTCAATCCATCTAACAACTGCAGGACTTTGGTTTGTTTAAGAGATAGAAAAAAGAAAGTGAAAATAAAAACATCAACATTATGTTGTTTGGTCAAATGCAGATAAGCAGGAAAATAGAACATACCTGCAGTATCTTGTAACTAAATCTGCATGGCGTGCATGATGGGTCACAGGTTATTCAAGTTTTTTAGTTTTTTTTTTTTGTTTAAGTCAAGAAAGCAAACTGAACTGTAAGCTGGCATTTGCTGGCATCTACTAAGCTGCAAGGAAGGTCTCCACAAGAGCAGGTGAATAAATTAATAATAGTTTAACGGGACAGTTAGCAAAATGTATACTTCAAATTGTATACAGGAAAAAGATTGTTACTTAACTGTGTTACCAGACAGTGAAAATTAAATTCTTTCTTGGTAGTTTTTCAATTTTTTAAGTTTTATACATATATTGTACAGTAACTTGATATTTCAGATATGTTTCTCTGTCTGAAGTTATAAGGTAAATAAATATTCGGGAAATATCTTTCAATAGGAATAGGATAAATTAAGGTAAAATGATTTAATCTTTCGGTTACTCTATGTTAAAATGTATTTAAAACTCAAGGTGTAACTTTAAGTTCCAAATTTAATTACAAGTCTTGGTGACTTTTAACTCTTTATATGTTAAATTGTAACTTTGTTTAGCCTGATTAAAATTGTTCTCTTACAAGCACTGCTTTGAATCTGTAGCATCAGTTTGAGGTGTGGCAAAGGACAGAGCAATATTAACTTTTTTAACAAAAAAGAACCACAACAATGAACAAAATTCCCTGCAGCAGGGCACCTCTAAGCAATCAAGGTTTAAAAGTAACTTAACACGTTTATGATTTTTTCAGTTTGTCTGGTGTCTTTAGAGTTACATTCATACAGCCATGCTTAACGTCCTTGAACACTTTTAATTATCTTGCATTATGAACAAATTTTATTTTTTTAAGATTTTAAATGAGATAATTTCAGTTTCCAAGTATGTCAATTTCTAAGTATGTCTTGGAAAGAATACTGGCTTATTTTAAAACAATTAAATAATGTAAAATTTGATTTAAGCAAACAGTTTTTAATTACTTTAAACAGAAAAACACCACCAAATCATCTAGTCTGAAAAATAAATCGAAAAGCCCATGTTAATAGGTAAGATATTGATAATAACCTTCACTCCCTCCACCCCAAATTATCAGTTGTTTTAATTTCTTTTAACTACCATGTTCTTTAAGGTCAGGATACATGTGTTTGCAGAATCTCATTTCGGCTAGTATTAACAATCCTTATTTAGGTAGCAATGTGTTCAAGCTTGTAGCTGGCCGACAAAAAATGCAAAGTGAAACTTCTGTAAGTAAGAGCAGGGTGATGAGGCCAAAATTGCAACATATCATTGCATCAATGCAAACAGCAGGTGAAGAAGGCACATGGACAGAGCTTGTTGCCATCAGAGGAAATCTGAGAAAGGATTGCAGCCACCACTAAATCAGAGGCATCAATTTCAAGAAAATTTTTTAGCTGAATCAGAATCAGAGCAATGGCTAACCTTTTCTTGAGCTCAAAAAAAGCTCTTTTGGCTTCAGGTTACCAAAGGATCTATAATTAATCTATAAACCAAAGTCTTTTGGAGGAGGTAAGGATAATAAGAGGTTAAGCAGTTTGAATAAGGTAGAAGTTGGCAAATCCTAAGAAATGTTGTAGTGAGATGAGGGAGAAGGCCAACTGAGAATGGCTGGAATCTTTTTTGCATCTGTCTTCACCTGCACAGTCTTGAGAATGTGTCCTAAAAAAAGCGACTAATTTGGCATGAAACTCACACTTCTTGGATTTGACAAAAAGTTTGTTCTGTGAGAAAATTTGAGGCTCGTTGATCCTATGTTCAGAAAAGGTCCTGCAGAAATCAGAAGGTCTTTAAGGTGTACGAATAAAAGCTGATTTGAAAAATCTCTAAGGACGTAATTCACAAGGGACTAGAAGGCATTGCTAGATATTCAAAATGACCTAGGGAGGTCTTGAGGGCAAACTTACATTCGTCTCTGAATAGAGGGTAGGGGTTTCGGAGATCTGACTTAGTGAAGAAATGTGAGCCATGATCTATACTCTGCTGAGAGAAGAGGAAGTGTATATTTATTTTTCACAGTAATCTGGTTAAGGCCCCTATAATCAATGCAAGGTCTTAGTGATTCATACATTTTCATTACATAGAAAGTATCTGCTCCAAGAGGTGAAGTAAAGATGAAGATAACTCCAGCATCTAGCATCTTATTTAAGTACTTCTCCATACTCTTTTTCTCAGGCTTGGACATGTTAAAAAACCTAGTGGAGGGGAGAGAAGCTCCAGGGAGTGGCTCATTAGCACAGTTATATGGGTGGTGAGGCTGGAGAAAGAGAGCCTTAGACTCACTGAAAACCAGATCAAGGTCATGATACTCAGGTGGAACCAGGAAGAAGTCTACTGCAGTTTCCTGTTCTTCAGAATTTAAGACGAGAGACATGGCCGACTGCAGACAGTTTGACAGACAGCGGTTACTCAGTGACTCAGCCCTATTGTCTTTCCAGTTCAGGTGAGGATTAAGATGGGTGAGACAATAGTATAGTAAAATAATGGGAGATTGGGGTGAAGACAACAGGAAATAATATTTTCTTCGATATGATTGACTGACACCAAGAGTTTTGGTGGTTCCATCTGGTTATTGATTACATGCAGAGGACTTCTATCTAGAACCAAGACATGAAGTGGTTCAGGTAGGCATACAACAGGAAGAAGTAATTATTCAGCTAAATTGTTATCCATAAGGTCTTGGTCACAACCAGTGTCGTTTAAAGCAAAAGAGGGAAATGGTTGATACAGTAGGAGAGAGCAGGGTAATGTCAAGTGGAAAGATTTGTTCTTAAAACTGCACACTGGCCCCTTCCTTACCAGTGGGCCCTATCTTTTAGCTGCTTTGGTCAGAAATAAATGAAGTGACCACTCACTATTCTCACCGCAATACAGGGAGAGTCCAGTTTCCATCATACCTTGTTCTTCCACAGTTTAAAACCAAGTGTAACCAATCAACCATCAGTTCTTCTAGATGTGGCCTTGAAGGGACATAAGTTCATGAACGATCTGGAAGATGAGATTGGGGTAGAGGTAAATCATTCCACTGTTTTGCTTGGTCCTCTATTTTTCTCTTGAATTCTATTGTAAATGTGAATAGCGAGGGAGATTAGTTCCCTTAGAGTTTCAGACTCCTCTCTGCACGCTAGTTCATCCTTAATTCTTTCATCCAAGGCCTGAAAAAAGCTCCCTTTAATGCTTCCAGGTTTCAGGCTGTAGAGGCTGCTAGAGTTCGAACCTCAATGGCAAAATGTGATACTGGCTGGTTATCCTATTTTAAATTCCACATCTTACGGAAAAAGTCAGAAACTGATTCAGTATATCCAAATGTCTGTTTGAACAAAAGATAAACTAGTTAAAGGAAATTTGGAATTGAAATTCACCGTCAAATCTAGCTTTAGCCCGCTGCAGGGCTCGCCCTCTTAGTAATGCATAACATTATTTGCATTACCAACATTGCTGAACTTCTATAATCCTTTTACATAGGACACAAGTCAATGTTTGTACTGCATTTTGCACCATATTTATTTTTGCACAAGACTGAATGTTTTCATATGAATGCCCTTTGCAACATTATTTAAACTGGTTTATTTGTTCTCCTACATTGTTTTACATTCTGATCACTGCTGCACTATATATTGGCAATGTGTATCTGCTTCAATTGCAATATCATTACAACTGTTGTAAGCTGTATGCAACAAAAATTCATTTTGTATACAAAATAATAATAAAGTCTCAGTCTCTAAGTCTAAGTTACGGGCCATCCCTTATCTTGAAGCATAAAGTCTTATTTTCAGTATCTCTATTGTTGTTTACAATTTTCAGATTGTTCATTTACAGTTTCCCCAAGCGTTAGATGCAAAACAGTGACACTGAACAGTTGATGGTTTAGATTAGTTATTTGCACATGAAAATCCATATACAGGCAGATCTCAGAGATAGAATATTGTAAAATTGTTTATTAACTCTTGTTACTAATTAAGATTTCCTATTTGGAGCAATATTCAGTTCATATTTTGTTGCAGTTTGAAGAGTTATAGCTTAAAGTATACAATTCAAAGCTCATTCTCTGAGAAAATTATGTCAGAATTAATGGTCTGTCATCTTAACCAGCTAATTGAGTTAGTTAATTAGCTGAAACACACCACAAGCAAGGTAAGCCCCAAAAGATCATTTCTAAATAATCTGGTTGTTCAAATAGTGCTTGTTGCAACACATTCCTGGTTTAGTGGGAAGAAAGTATTCAACTATTCACACTAGTTAAATAAATGGAGATCGATGGATTGCACCCACTCTGCATTTTATTTTCATATTGTCACGTCTAAGCACCTAAAACATCACACATACATACAGGGAAAGAAAGAAGGCACAGAGACAATTAATTTAGTTTTACTCGCGAGGAGAGTAGGAAGAGACTGCAGAGTTTACAAATCTCCAACCCACTCGCTATTTATAAAAGTCGGGGGGGTCCCTAGTTACACAAACTAAGGTTGAGCTAAAGGAATAGGAAACAAGAAATACAATTCAATTTGCAGCCTCAGTGAACAGGTCAATTTGGATTTAAATGTCTTGCGGTTAAAAGGTCCGAGAACCTCCTGGTTTCGTTAAGCTTGAGCAATACTTCCTGATAGTTTACCTATACTGCTTGTGCAACACCTCTCTACAACCACTCTGTAAAGATGAATCATACACTTGGGCCACAAATACTATATTCCTTGTGTCAAGATATATAGAAATCAACTGTTTAACTTAACATATTGTGCCGAGACATTTGAAGTTGTTTTTATTTTTCTTGACCACAGAGGGTTCAGTTTGTGAAGGAATTTTAAGATCTAAAGTATAATGCCAGAAGGAGCTTGGACAACGCATCTTTGTGATTGCTTTGCAGATGCCAATACTTGTAAGAGCTTAATATTTTTCTTTTTATTATTACTAAAATCAAAAAGAAATTGTTTAAAATCCCTACTTTATCAATTTGAATCAGCATTCTGATGTCTTTCTCAGGCTGCTATGGCTTCTGGTGTTGCCCTTGCCTTGCCTGCACTGTTTCAGGAAAATTTCAAGAGTGCTACTGCCTTCCCTTATGTGACATAATGAGTCCTGCTGCATTCACAGCCTGTGGGGTCCCCATTTTTATTCCCCCAGCATCATTGACTCTGAGGGCTTCCATTCGGAACAGATATGGAATAAAGGTATGGCACATTCGACATTCACCTAAACCTTAATTCGTGTTCAACTAAAAAGTAAAAACTGTTTTAATGTGGTTGTTTTTAGGGTTCCATCTGCAACGACATGGTGGTCTCTGCTTTTTGCTTATGGTGCTCATGGTGTCAGATGCATCGTGAATTAAAGGCAAGAGATAAAACTACTGTCGTCATCACACAGCCTGCACCAGCACCGGTGATCAATGTTCAAGCTAATCCAGTCATGGTGGTTAATCAAGCCCCAGGTCTACAATATGCTAATCCAAACCCTGCTCCTCCTCCTAGTGGTTATGGAGCTCAGTATAATAATCCAAACCCTCCTCCATACCCCTATGGTGTTTAGAGCTTCAAACTTGGATTTATATTATAATTAAAAAGATGTTGGTGTGGAGGATTTTGTTCTGCTGAAATGTACTACTATTGTTAATAATTCTTACATTAGGACTTTTGACTTTGATTTAGACTATATATGTATAAATGACTTATAAAAAATATTGTATGAGGAAATTAATTCCAAAAACAGAACAATCAGATGTAAGGTTTATAATTTGAAACTAACATAATTAAAAACAAATACATAATGAGTGACCTGGTTGTTTGTTTTTTCTGGCCATGATTGTGTTTAGCTTTTTTGTACAACTGACTATAATTATTAGATAAATTGCTTTTATCAATTATCCCAAATGCCATTAATTGAGAAGTATATGTATCTCTATTGTCATAAAGGCATTCGATTGCAAAGTTGAAATAGCTCATTTCTAGTCACATTTATATTTATGGACATCTAAATTTGGCTTTAAGAAACTAGATCATAACATATGGTTGGTTTGTTGACAACCATCTTCTGCCTGTGACAGACAGACAGATAGATGTGACTGATGATCAACACTGTTTATTATCAGGTTCTGCTGAGAAGACTGAGGGATCAATTAGGACTGTTGGGGTCAGTTCTACAGTGATTCTCCTCATATTTGTCCGGGTCTAGCTGTAGTGTTGCTGCAAACCAAATAAGCTCTGAGTTTGCATATTTGTTGTATGGAGTACCTCAAGGTTCAGTTTTTGGCCCTGTTTTATTTTTGTTGTTTTTGACCCCTTTGGGAAATATCATCCAACAGTTTAGTGATGTTTCCTTTCACCTATTTGCTGATGATATCCAGCTTTACTTTAAACGTCTAAAAATCCTGAGTTGTTTTGAATTTTGAAAAGCAAATGATAGAGCTTAAATTTTTTTACTTTAACCAGCATTTTTTTTCCTGTTTAAGTAGACCAATTGCCTTAATGTTCCACTTGATATTTGATATAATAAACTTTATTGAAAAACATTTGAGAAGAAAAATCATATAAAATGGACAGGGAGATGGACAGGGGCTAAGAAAGAACGAGGGGACAATACCTGAGGGAGAGAGAGAGAGAGAGAGAGAGAGAGAGAGAGAGAGAGAGACAGACAGACAGAAAGACAGGAACGCGTGCATGAAAAAAGAGAAAATAAAACAAAAAAGCAAAGAAAAATAGAAAAGATAGAAAATATGTATGTAACCCAGTGTTTTTGCCCTGCTTTTTATAAATGGGTGTAAATCACCATGAGAATTCGTACCGCGTCATTTGAACCAAAACATTTATGGTACTGTGAGGCTTAAAAGATGGCTGCTGCCAGCAGTTCCGGGTAGATGTTGGAAACGTTAGGATCTTGCATGACTACAGATGCCTCTGCCTTCTGCGAAAACTCTATTGGATTCAGGATTTTTTACTTGTCTTTATGACTTGAAAACCTAGCCAAGTCTGTATGTATGGCGAGTGAACCCAGAACCTGAAAAAAAAAAGACCAAAAGATTCAAAGAGCAGCTCTATGCCAGTGCAGTAGGAGGCTCTGTAGCCTACCTCTTCCCATACATTTGCACCGATGTTGCTATCCTCCTAAAGAGTAGCGGATTATTAATGCATATTTGTTTTAAAGAACTCATTTTATTTTGTTTTGCCCATCCAAGAACTATGAAATTGAACTGTGGGTTGGACTTTGAAAAAAGGAGTAAAACTAGTAGCAAATTATAAAAATGTATGAACTTTGGAATGTTTTCTTGATATTCTAAGGGGATAATAGTACTCTTTTTTCCCCTTCCTCAGGTTCACTGTGTACATTTTGTAAATGATTATTGCAAACCTTCACTGTGAAAAAAAAACACAATACAGCATACCTATGCAATTACATATTTTGTCTGTGTTTTCTTAAGCACATGTTTTTCATCCGAGCCGAATTTAGTCTTCTGGCTCTAGTCCATTGATAACAGTTGCTACTGTATATATTTGCAGCGTTGTACATGCTACATAAAACCTGGAGAGCTAACCAGGAGGAATTGTCTCGTGTTTGATATTTCTGCTATGTTTACATAAGGTACTTTATCATTATTAAAGTTTTGATTCTTGTACAAGTGTTGAAAAATGGAGGTGTTTTGGAAAGTGGTATCAAAATTTCAAATGCTGTGCTGGTTGTAGGCATAACAGAGGAAGTAGGGGAAGAAGCAATTGATTTTCTTAAACACTATGGTTCAATTAATTCCACTCAACTTATTTCCAAACCACAGTCTGATTTTGATGGTTCCCTTGTTGTTGAATTCACTAACGCTTGTGTTATGGAATCCTTGCACCCAATTTTGCTGTATACAATGACAAATAAAGAAAGACTTTATATTTCAGAATTATCTGCTTTTTCTACGGAACTTTTTACAATATTTTAAAAGCTTAGCTAAAATGACTGGTGTAGATTACATTCAAGTTATAAAATCAACCATGATTGGATTGTCAGTCATGGCATGAGCAGTCACTAGCATGAGCAGACTATGCATGAGCAACACCAGCTCAAACAGAGTCTACTATATATCCTCTGAACCAATGCCAGTTTCACAAGCCATCTCAAGGAACTGCTACTTCCAGGTAAGCTTATGAGCAGAACGCTAAACCAACAACTCTTGCATTGCAGCGGTGGGTGACGAACCTCTTCCATTATTGATGTTTCTCCACCAGAGGTCCAGCGTTAGTAGTATGTAGTGGATCCCACAATCTCACCATTACACCCATATGGACATATACAAGCACTTAGCAGAGATGCACACAGAGGCAGACAGTATATTTTTTCTACATTGCAGAAAACATAAAAGCAATGTTTTACTCTGACAGAAGAATGTGGGCTAAATCTGAGCCTTGTAATCTTTGTCATCAGCGGTTCTGCCATCCATGTGGGCATAATGTACTCAGATGAAATCTGTACCTTTAGTGTAACTGAAACAGTAATTTATTCCCCTATGCTGAAGAAATAGCTACTGTATTACTCTGATCCAAGGGTTAGGGTTAGCCAAAAAGCCAAAAAAAGCACCCGCTGCAAAGTTAAGAATGTTGTAAACCCTGCATGACAGCGTCTCCCTGCACGCCAATTGAAAAGATAAAAAAATCAGCTGTGAAACAGATTACATCCTTAATGGTTTTTTTCAGCTTGAAATGCAGTTGGCCACACACTTTGTTTCTCACAAAGGGAACCTATCAATTCAATTCAGTTTATTTATATAGCGCCAATTCACAAGACGTGACAAGATAATTCAACGAGATCATACAGTCAAACTGATATAAAGTTTTCTATCTAAGGAAAACCAGCTGATAGCCTTGAGTTATTGACTCAAAGGCAATCCCTCACACCAAGCATGCTTGTAGCGACAGTGGAGAGGAAAAACTACGGTGGCCCTGAAGTGCAAACTGCAACTACAAA